TGCCTTTGCTAGAGTTGCCAGGGGTCTGGTTTTCATCTGAAATGTCCAGTCAACAGGGGCTCCAGTCAGGACTGGGCTGTTAAAAGTCCCGCTGGTGGGGCTGGCAGGCTCCCTACAGCTCCCGGAAGTGGCGACTTGGCCCTCGGCTCCTAGGCCAAGGGATGAGCAGGGTGGCTCCACGTGCTGCTCCTGCCCCATGTACCAGCTCTGCAGCTCCCATTGGCCAGGGGCAGCAGCCAAGGGGAGCTGCAGGGAAGGCGCCTGCAGGCAGAGGTAGTGCGCCCGTGCAGAGTCATCTGGTCATGCCTTCACCTAGGAACGAGGTAAGCGCTTCCTAGAGCCCACTCCCTGCGCGCCATCCCACACCCCCTCTCCCTCTCCCAGCCCTGGGCTGCCATGAGGCTTTAAGGGGCCCTACGCAGTATTATTAAACTGGTGCCCCTATGCCCCATGGCAGCCCGGGGAGGAGAGAGGATGGGTGTTTAGAGATGTGATTTTATAATCTTCAGCAACCCACCCATGGAATATTTCCAGAGCAAACGGTAACCTAAGGGCTGTTGACGACACAGGACATTCAGAAATGGACTATATATCTGGGGGGAGGGGGGGAAATGCCGGCTAAATGGCTTCATTACCACCTGAATGGCTCTGTCACGGGCTCAGGGTGCTGCTCGTAGCTCTGGCAGGCTTGTCACTTTTAAGTAACTAGATCCTTGTGAGGGGGGTAGTCACAGAAGGCCCTGTGGGGCTGTTCCCCAGGATGCTGATAAAGCCACTGACACTTGCCTCCTTGCTCTCCGGGGCTTCTCACTGCCCTGTCCTGCTGAGCCAGGTCTTCTGGTCTCCCTCAGCCAAGGCCCAGAGCTGAGATCACCACCCCCACCCCTGAAGAGCAATGCAGACACGCAATCACTTCAGCTCTAGGAGAATTCAGTTCAACGGCACAACATCCAGGAAACCAGCCCCCAAATGGGATCAAAACCCCAAATAACCCCAGACCGGGATCAAAACCCCAGTCTGTCACTGGGTGAGAGTTTCACGCGTTGAAAGCTCATTCAGGTAAGCCCCCTTTTATCACTGAAAGGAGGACGGGCACACTGATTGTAACAATTATTTACACTGGGTTTGATAGTAAATCAAAGTATTTTATTAAGTACAAACAGTAGGATTTAAGTGGTTGCAAGTGAAAAAGGCAGCTCAAAATAAGTTACAGAATTAAGATAAAACCCATAGCTAGTACTAAGCCTTTTATGGCCAACTTACCCTAAACCTGTTCTTATTTTAGACAAACCTTCAAGTCAGAGAAGATCTTCTAATCTGAGTACGGATGCTCAGATACTATGTTGCTGGATTACCAGAGAGAATGTAGCGTGAGTCCCTAATTTAAGGCTGTTTCTCCCAGGCTGAAACTTAGGGGGAAAAACACATTTTTCTTGATCATGGAGCAGATTTGCTCTGGAGCTACTGAAAGATGGGAAACACTGGGCTTCATTGAGGAAAGTTTTGAGGAAAGTCACTTTACATTCTTGCTAGGTCTGTGCTTAGGATGCAAGAGGCTATATTCAAAGTTAGGAAATTTCCCAGGATAAAGAAAACCACCCAGATAAAATAAAGATGCTTCCTCGGATCCTCTGCTCACTGGTTCAAACAGGCAGGAGGATTTGCAGAGATGTGCAGAGAAAAATATCAGGCTCATGTGATCATCTTGTTTGGTACCAAAAAGTCAGTTGTTGCCAAGGGAGGAGAATTTACCTTTCGGAGTGAACGCTGAGGCTAGGTCTAGACTACAGGCCTTTGTTGGAAAAAGCTACGCAAATTGCGCTCTGCAATTTGCATAGCTTTTTCTGATAGCTTTTCCAGAATAATAATCCCAACTATACGTACAGTGTGATGGGGGCTAATTTGGCTATGACAAATCAGGAAAGAGATCTTGGAGTTATCATGGATAGTTCTCTGAAAACTTCCACGCAGTGTGCAGCGGCGGTCAAAAAGGCAAATAGGATGCTAGGAATTATTAAGAAAGGGATAGAAAAAACAGAATGTTAGGAGTCATTAAAAAAAGGGACAGAGAATAAGACAGAAAATATCTTATTGCTCCTATATAAAACCATCGTACACCCACATCTTGAATACTGAGTACAAATGTGGTTGCCTCATCACAAAAAAAGATATATTGGCATTTGGAAAGTTTCAGAAAAGGGCAACAAAATGATTAGGGGTTTGGAACAGGTCCCATATGAACAGAGATTAAAAAGCTTTGGACTTTTCAGCTTAGAAAAGAGGAGACTAAGGGGGATATGATAGAGGTCTATAAAATCATGACTGGTGTAGAAAAAGTGAATAAGGAAAAGTTATTTACTTCTTCCCACAATATAAGAACTAGGGGTCACAACATGAAATTAACAGGTGGCAGGTTTAAAAGAAACAAAAAGAAGTTTTTCTTCACTCAGTGCACAGTCAACCTTTGGAACTCCTTGTCAGAGGATGTAGTGAAGGCTAGAACTTTAACAGGGTTCAAAAAAGAAGTAGGTAGATTCATGGAGGTTAGGTCCATTAATAGCTATTATCCAGAATGGGTAGGAATGGTATCCCTAGCCTCTGTTTCTTCTTTGGAGGTGAGTGACATGGGAGGGATCACATGAGGATTACCTATTGTGATCCCTCCCTCTGGGGCACCTGGTGTTGGCCACTGTCGGCAGACAGGGTACTGGGCTAGATGGACCTTTGGTCTGACCCAGTATGGCCGTTCTTATGTTCAGAAGAGGCTTTTCCATCATTTGGCTCCATCTAGATGGGGCCAAATGGCAGAAAAGCCTACTCTTTCGGAGGAGCCCTTATTCTTCATAGAACGAGGTATATAGGGCTCCCCAAAAGAGTGCGTCTGTTCTTCTGCAAAAAAAAAAAGGAGAAGAGCAAACACATTCTCTGGACGTGGCACAGTTTTTCTGGGATACCTCCGGTATCCCGAAAAAACACGCCAGCCTAGACGTACCCTGAATAGCAAAGGTCTTGAAGTTGCATGGGTTTTTGGCAGAAATGGGGTCTTTAAAACAAGACCACTGGATGACTTAACTCCATGCCATGATTTATAGTCATGAAATCAGTAGGATGAATTCTCTAATGGTACTGTAGAAAACCAGGATTTGCTCCTGTTACAATGTAGCAACGGTGTCATGACTCAGGCTGGTGCTGTTTGTTTGTTGTCTTGCTTGCTTGTTTTTATGAGGACACCTGCCCACTGGGAACTGGTCTGTGCTCTGTCACTTAAGATAGATCAATGAAAAACGAGTAGAGGTTCAAAGTACTTAAATAATTTCTATACTGGGCTAGAAACTGTAAGGACAGTTTCACATTTTTATGACCTCTCTCAGCTTGTGATTTTATTACTATCCTGAAATAGGATGGGGATTTTAAATAAATAGGTTACACAAGCATAACACACTACATAAATCACTGATAATAGACACTTAATCTTGTGGGACCCATGAAAACACACACACCCATTGAGTGACTGCAGCAGCAGTGTATTAACTACATTTCTCCCCAAGATCAGCCATTATCCATGAACATAGAACGTAAGAGCGGCCATACTGAGTCAGACCAACGGTCCACCTAGCCCAGTATCCTGTCTGCCAAAAGTAGCCAATACCAGATGCCCCAGAAGGAGGGATCACAACAGGGAATCCTCACGTGATCCCTCCCCTGTCACTCATTTCCAGACAAACAGAGGCTAGAGACACTATTCCTATCCATCCTGGCTAATAGCTATTGATGGACCTAACTTTCATTAATCTATCGAGCACTTTTTTGAACCCTGTTAAAGTCCTAGCCTTCACCACATCCTCTGGCAAGGAGTTCCACAGGTTGACTGTGTGCTGAGTGAAGAAAAACTTCCTTTTGTTTGTTTTAAACCTGCTGCCTCTTAATTTCATTTGGTGACCCCTAATTCTTATATTGTGGGAATAAGTAAATAACTTTTCCTTATTTACTTTTCCCACACAAGTCATGATTTAATAGACCTTTATTATATCCCACCTTCGTCTCCTCTTTTCTAAGATGAAAAGTCCAAGTCTTTTTAATCTCTCTTCATATGGGACCTGTTCCAAACCCCTCATCAT